CAATTTTTGCAAAGGTCAATTAAAGGAACGATGTTAAAGGAAACTGCATATGAAATGGAACTGGATCTATTGGTCTGTAGTGTTGCTCATTGTCTGTTGGTCTGTATTGTTCCTTGTTGTTTCTTGGTATATTCTTGGTATATGAGTAGACACAGCTGGACCATTTTCTCGCATAATTTTAGTACGATCTTTGTCTATCTTGATACTATAAACACATTCATGGAAGACACAGAACTGCATTTTTACAGAAACTCGCATTGTAATATGATTTCCACCACCAAGGATACAAGACCAAAGGCTATGTGTGTCCTGCCCCTCTTAAAAATAAATCACTGTTCAATAAATTCCAGGCTACTTAGCTTACTAGTAACTGTTTTTGTTCTTTTAAAAACCTCAGTTTAACTACAGTATATTGAATACCATCATTACGTAGCTCGATCTACTCAATTAATTACCATATTTTACATTGTTCAAATCAAAGCGGCACCTGTGAATGCAAGAACTTTGTACAAATTGTAATTTTAGAGGATTAATGTATGAAAATCTAGATAAATAAAAAACATTAGTAAAATCTTTAATCTTAATACATATTTTTTTTATGAACACTTTTCCATCAACTTGAATGTAGTACCATTCATTAGATGTAAATTAAACTCTAGGTTTGGTTGTTGCCTAGATTTAGAGCATTTTCATTATGTGTAAATCAAATACAAAATTATACAGCCAACAAAAATATTTCAAACGTTTCAAACAGGCGACATTCAATCACGCTTCCCGGATCCTGGTTCTGGGGGTCGCATACTTAGCCTGGGGGTTACATTGCATTGAACTTACCCAAAAATTGTCCGCAAACCGTAGCGTATCCAACGACATTGTTACCGATTGGCAATGCACTCCTTTCAGCTGGTAGTTTGTTTCAAACGTTCAAGAAATCGAGGTTGTACTAGTAACGCCGGCCATACAGGCGATGACTTTTACTGAAATCAACAGGAAGAACCATCCCTGGAACTCAACCAGGAAGTACGTTCGCAAAATTAAAGGAAATCTCGTGACATCGTCTCGTAGTTGACGTGACCGCACTTTCACCCAATTAAAAACGTTGTTATGTGTGTTGACCAATCATATAATAGCTTACATTTTAAAGTGACAGCGGCCATTTTGAAATTGGCATTCGATCGTCGGACTAAAAACTGTGTTTACGTTCTGTGATTGCAGTTGTAAGGTAAGTCAGATGCCAATCAACAGTTGCATATGTCCTAATATGTCAGGTACGTCTTAGCCGGTCAAATATAGTATATTCGAACGATAGAATCGCCCCATATTATGGCGATGTTGGAAGTGAATTTTTGTTTGGCATAATAACTGTGTACTAACACTGTATACACTGTGACAGCTGATTTGTTGCTAAGACAGGTCCCATCTTGTCCACACGTGTTGTCAGTTGTAGCTTTAAGTTTAAATTTCAAATAGGATCTTTGTGCAGCTCAGGATACAGTACGTGATCTTATAAAGTATACAGGTACAAGTCAAACGTTGCTAAATGTGAGCTGTCCTTGGTCTCATTTTGTACGATCTAAAAACGATGACGTACAATCTAATATTTATCAACTACAGTACATCCTGATTTTTAAATCTGTTAGTTTTCGTAAGTTTAATTCTTTGTACGTGTAGGTTCATGTTACTGTACTCTGTTTTCTGTCTTGAGGAATATCTTCCTAAAGCTGAGAAATTGTTTCAGTACTGCGCAGTGTAATTCGTTTTCGTAAGTTACTAATATTTGTTTAATTCCATGTACGTGTATGTTCATAATACCGTACTCCCTTTTCTGTCTTGAGGAATATTTTCCTATTGCTAAGAAATTTTTTCTTGACATTGAATGTTTCTGGGCCCAACTCATGATCACTGACTTTTATTCCAGGTATTCTAGTTTTCCACAATCTCGTTTTGCATCAGCTCTCAACATGTCTAGTACTGAAGAAGACAGTGTTCCTATACTTCCTGACGATTCTGCTGGAAGTTCTGTTTCGTCCTGTCTCCAAGATGAATACCAAGAATTGTTAAAATATGCTGTCATTCAACCAAACTTTGAACCAGGGCAAATGCCGCAGACTGTGGCGGAAGCTATGAGAGCTTTTCAAGATAAAAAAGATGATTTGATATATCCAGATTCATCAGGTAAGTGTTAGAGTATGTTTCTTTCAAGGTGCTAGGCTGATTGCGATTTGCACATTTGCTTCCATGGCTTCATAATAATCTAATTATTAATACTAATATCAAGTTATTAAGAGAATATCTGTAAATTGTCACATGTTACCATATGCAATTGTTAACTGACCGTATTTTAATATAGTTACAGAAGATGCAAGTGATGCTGCAGGGCAGATTGAGGCCATGAAATCGTTTAAAGAAACAGGAGCTATGGATAGCACATTAGAAACAACAAGAGAGACCCCAAGAAGAGATATACCAGGTAAGAGGGCAGTCATGTTAGTTGGAATAAACAACAGATATTTACGTCTGGACTAGTTGTAAGCTGTAAAAGAACAATGTAACTGTTGGTCATTGATGTCTATTGTGTGTTGATTCAAATGACTAATTACATTAGAGAGATTATCATACCTTGGGAAGATCAGTGCTGTTAGCTTACTGTCAGGATAAGCATATCAATTATGGATTAGGATGTAATATAATCAGAGATTACAGTGAAATAAATGGCTTCTCATTATTTTTCAATTTATGCATGGAATGAATCATAACACTTATCTGTAGTATAATAGTCCTACCCGGTACTGTTTTGTGATGGTGGCTATAAAACACGCCCCCTTCAATATCATGCTCCAAGTATCATGTATGTTTAGGTAGTTCAATACCATTAAAAAAATTTATCACAGTAAATCATTAAAAAATTTGTGTGTGATGATTTACATACATGAACGTCATTCTTATTTAAAGTTTTTACAGAGAAAGAAGGATGTGTTTTCTAGAAAACATATGCAAAATAATCCAAAAAGCGCTCATTTTGAAACATTTTCTATAGGAATCCATATAATAACTTTATTATGCAACTTAACCATCTGTGGGTTTAGTAAGGTAAAAAAATGATTACAAAAGACAAATAAAATAACACACACTAAAACACTAAAATTAAAATACACTGAAATTCAACAAAAGAAAGAAATAAAAATTAGAAAATCACTGAAAAAGCAAAAAAGAGTTACATATTAAACTTTCGAAAATTGTATTTTTTAAATAATATGATAAAGCCATATTATTTCCCATTATTTTCACGAAGCTTTCCATTCTGGACAAATAATTAATTCTTTATTTTAAAATACTTCAAGACATGTTTTCTCTCTACTTCATAGAAATTGCAATCTAAGATAAAATGCATTTCATCTTCAATTTGATCTGAATTGTATTTTTTGCAAGTTCTTTCATTTTCTGGGGTTTTTGGTTTACTCTTTCTTTCCAATTCAATTCCAAGGTTGTGGTCACTGAGTCTGAACTTTGCTAACACTCTACGTTGGCTGAAGTTTTTCATTTCATTTAGATAGTTTTCCAATTCAAAATTTTGTTTAAATATATTGTATGTTCTAAGTTTATAAACACACTACAGTATTCCATTGATAACTTAAACTAATTCAAAATTCTCCAGTTTTTCTTGACAGCCATATGTAGCCCTCATAACAATAGATATATATTTTTTACCATAAGTCACTGATAAGATTTTGAAATACGATGGAATGCTTCTCCCATAGGAACTATTTGTAAACTATTATATTTTTTTAATAGTAGCAAACTAGCTTAACCTTTTCACCACCAGTTCCCTCTTTTTATCACAAATTCACAAAATAGTCCTGTTTATAGTCTGCACTTCCCTTCAAAAGATTGGAACAAAAATAGCAAAATTATTTGCGCAAAAAAACAAAAATTGACTAAAATTTTGTCTGTTGGCTCTAAAATTAAGGTTCATTTCCTGAAATATTGTAGAATATAAAAAAAAAAGTGCGAAAAAATTTGCACAATGAAGTCTGGTGGGGAAAAAGTTTAAAGGTGTTTAAAAGGCAGTTGTCATGGCAACTGTACATTCTAATGCATTTAGATTTTGTGTAAATAAACAATACATTTGATCTGTATATGTTGCTATGTGTACTATGGGACCCATATCAGATACACATTGTCATTATGACAACCACCGTTTAATTACTTTTTTCATCATCAGTTTCAATTAAATATTATACCATTTTGTTGTCATACAGCAGGCTTTGATAGGCGAGCACAGCAACACAACAGAAATAGACAACACTGTGAGTGGAAGAATCAGTTACTCACTATGTGTATAGCGTGTATTAGTGTCGTTAGTTTACGTTCATTATAATACAATGTGTTCGGATCAGTACTTGCATGATTTTTAGTTTTGTGTTACAGTATTTTTACACACTTGCTTGCATTGTTTTTTAGAAAAGAATAAAATGCAGAAACTATCTTTTTTAAAAAGGCCTTGGTAAAAGCAAAATAATGAAAATGATTGTGAAGAAACAAATAACTTGTGTCCCTTATGAATAACCAGATAAAACAATCAGAAACCACTATATTTGCTAAATATGCTGATGATATTTGACAGAAAGAAAAACTTTTGTTTTGTTGTTTCTGTAACTTTATGATGTTCATTTTTTCGAGATGTCTTGGCAAGACTGTATCATTCAGTTGGAATTGAAAAAATTAGTCTACACATTCCATTCATTATGCCATGTGAATGCAATTAATATTAATAATAAACTCTTAATTCTAATGAGGCACAAGTCATTTTCATTTCCACAAACAATTTCACTATTTCATATTCTAGCTTTTTTTTATATTAAAAAAAATAATAAGAATTGTAAAGAAATCTAACACGTTATATACGTGATTGGGTTCCATATCAAATATGGTGCAATGTGACGACTCTTTAGTTTAGTAACACTTTAATACTGATACCGTATTTACACATACCGGTAATTGTTATAATTTTGTTGTTTTTACTTAATCTGAGCTATCCATTAAATTAGAATTGTCCAATTGTTTTTCATATTCATACTTTTTTTTTTATGAATGAAAGTTTTTATGAATATTGAAATTACACCATTTTAACCTTTTCACCACTAGTTCCATCTTTTCATCAC